AAAAGCTGCTTGCACATATAAAGGCAATATTATGATGTAAATGAAAAAAAACAAATGCAGCGCTAGTTTATATAATGATCTTATGTCACTTTAAATAAAGTCCATATATGTTCCCAAATGAATGGAAGCAGGTGCATAAAGGGAAAAGTTTTATCCAAAAAGCCGTCAAATTAAAGATTGGCCTCTTACCAGACAATTGGATCGCACAAAGGTCGGTCAACATGCGCAGTGTGATATAACATCAGTACAGCAATCGATCCTCAATAGAGATCCCCTCCAGAATGAAAAGTAGCTTCTCCACCTTCAATAATCTCCAAAATGGCAGAAACTTCCAGAATCACACACTACACCATTCTCGTCATCCACATTTCTTAGTAAATTTTCACATTTTGGCACGCCGTTATTTATCCCCTGAATGATTTTAATAGTAATCTGTGATCCTGGCAATTTGAAGGCCTCCCTCCAGCTTCAGCTGACACAAAAGTATCCCAGGAAGATCCTCTTTAGATGTTGCTAGAGTGTTCCTGCAACTTTGAGAGTGATCCTTCATCTCCTTGATGAGCTAGAATCATCCAGAACTTCTAAACCTTGTAAGGTTTAACAGCACTTCCAGACTGAGGCCATCTCCAGGAGGTGAAGGACATTAAGGAGCTACAAAGGACGCGTCCCTGCTTTCGTTCAGGTGTATGCATATATACAGTAGATTCACCTGAGGAAGAGCGGGGATGCTCAAAACTGTCTTACAATTATTAAAAATAGATTCCTTTCTTTGAGTTAGGAACTACTTTGGAGTGCTGTAACTCTCATGGATCATATATATACAGCTGTGTTCAAAATAATAGCAGTCAGACATCACTAACCGGATCAATCACTGTTTTTGGTAGAAATGATATTTCTACATGGCAAATAATTTCCTAGCAGGTGTAGTAGAGTAATAGAAATCCAATAGACCCAACAGTCATGACATGCATGCTGCTGATTCTGTGTAATTGAATCACTAATTGAAAGGGGCATGTTCAAAATTAAAGCAGTGTGGAGTTCTATTAGTGAGGTCATTCGTTCTTTGAAAAACAGGTGGCAATTATTGCCCTTATTTAAGGAAGGAAGGCAGCAAATGTTGAACATGCTGGCTGCAGTGCATTTCTCTCTGAAATTCTGAGGAAAATGGGTCGTTCCAGACATTGTTCAGAAGAACAGCGTACCTTGATTAAAAAGTTGATTGGAGAGGGGAAAACATATAAAGAAGTGCAGAAAATGATCGGCTGCTCAGCTAAAATGATCGCAAATGCTTTAAAATGGCAACCAAAACCTGAAAGACGTGGAAGAAAGCGAAAAACTACCATTGGAATGGATAGAAGAATAGCCAAAATGGTGCGGACTCAGCCAACAATCAGCTCCAGGAAGATGAAAGAAGGTGTAAAGTTCCCTGTGAGTACTGTTACAATTAGAAGACGCCTATGTGAAGCCAAGCTATCTGCAAGAAGTCCCCGCAAAGTCCCACTGTTGAAAAAAAGACATGTGCTGAAGAGTATACAATTTGCCAAAGGGCACATTGACCGGCCTAAAGAGAAATGGCGACACATTTTGTGGACTGATGAAAGTAAGATTGTTCTTTTTGGGTCTAGTGGGCGGAGACAGTTTGTCAGACGACCCCCCAAACACTGAATTCAAGCCACAGTACACTGTGAAGACAGTGAAGCATGGTGGTGCAAGCATCATGATATGGGGATGTTTCTCATACTACGGTGTTGGGCCTATTTATCGCATATCAGGGATCATGGATCAGTTTGAATACATCAGAATACTTGAAGAGGTCATGCTGCCTTATGCTGAAGAGGAAATGCCCTTGAAATGGGTGTTCCAACAAGACAACGACCCCAAACACACCAGTAAACGTGCAACATCTTGGTTCCAGACCAACAAGATGGACGTTATGGAGTGGCCAGCCCAATCCCCGGATCTTAATCCAATAGAAAACTTGTGGGGTGACATCAAAAATGCCGTTTCTGATGCAAAACCAAGAAATAGAGAAGAACTGTGGAATGTCGTCCAATCATCCTGGGCTGGAATACCTGATCACAGGGGCCAGAAGTTGGTTGACTCCATGCAACACAGATGTACAGCAGTTCTCAGAAACAGTGCGACTACAACCAAATATTCATGAAGTCATTCAAAGGAAAGCAAAATCTTCAAACATTTCTCAGTTTATATAGTGAATGTTTGAGTTTGTAAAGAAGAATACAAACACTGCCATTTTTTTGAACCGTCAAATATTCACTTTTCTTAAAATTTTTTTAGAGGAACAACACAAATTTGATATATTTTTCTTCATGTTTTGATTTGTAATAGAATGTGTCGTGTTCCCAATGCATTTGTGTAGATGGAAATAAAAGCTATTAGAAGGATTTTGAGGTTTATTCACTTTTTTCAACACACTGCTATTATTTTGAACACAACTGTATATACACCTTATGACCTATAACAAGTATGCGTGTGCACCTCATCAATATGCAAAAGAGCAGCACTTGTTGGCAAGATTGCACCTTTCCATAACCAAAAGCTGACTAGTTCTGCTATTAAAAAAACCCCCAAAAACTAAGGATGTCTACAATCAAGAATGATAACCAGTTTACACTTTTGCCTCTACTCATTGCAGCTAATCTGCATTCCAGTCCCTGACACCCTTGAAAACGCTGTGTGTGTGCCCAGCCCCTCCACCTTGTAACACTGACAACACAGCAAAGTACAGAATCCCTGCAGTGAATCATGAGGGTTGAGCTTAGTTTTCTTTGTTCGGATCTACTATGCTGTGACATGCACAGGAACGGGAGTGGCCACACACAGGAAGAATTTCTGAAACGCCTCTGTATTTCACAACTGCAGTGTGAGGATACCATATCATTGATGTTTCCTTTACAGGACGCCTAGTGGCATTAAAACAAAAAAATGACAATGGAGGGTATCTTCTGATTATAAATGGCACTTGATGGAGTTCTCTTGAGATTCAGAGAAACGCTAATGAAACAGTGGAACAGTTTTGAGCCAGAAGCTCACCTTAGCTACCTTTCTCCAGTTGTATGAAAGTCTTTAGCTGAGGCCATTAAGTACAGCTTCTTATCCTGATTGCAGTAGCTGTCAGGATGCACTACTCAACATGCTGGCTGTGAGTGGAGGGGTCATTCATCCAGTTATAAGGATCTCAAACAGAGGGGGAATGTTGTACATGGGGGGATGGGTGCCAGATGTATGGCTGGCCAACTGGGGAGGAAGCCTGGAGGACAGCCAAAGGGAGGCTGAGTAAGTAGAGGGGGCAGGGCGTGCATGGGGGGGATGGGCGCCAGATGTATGGCTGGCCAACTGGGAAGGAAGCTTGGAGGACAGCCAAGGGAAGGCAGAGTAGGCAGCAAGCCATCAGCATGATCACACATTCCTTAACCCTCTAAAAAGAAAGAAGTGGGCGGGACCAGGAACACAGTGACGATTGATCCAAGTATTAAATGGTGTTCCCAAAACAGAAAGGTGATTTTTGGATCAGAGGCAGCTCACTCCTCTACAGCCTGCCTGGATTAAAGTCACACAATATTCTGGTTTAAAAATAATTTATTCAAGTATGTATTTTTAATTTAAAAAAGGCCCTTCTGTTGCTCTCAGCCTCCTCCAAATCTCTTTTTCTTTGTATTGCTATGATCTGTCTTCCTGTTAGAGGTTGGCTATATTCATTCTCCACGGCACTGTATGTATCAGTGTTCCCATGTTCACTCCTGAGATGGACTATGGGATGTGTAGTGAGCAAAGAGCAATGGAAATTACTTTAACTATCATGCACGGCTCATTCCAAACCCACAAAAAAGAGGGGGGGGAAAGGAGAGGACTAGGAGCTCATGGAGGATGTTACAAAGAGGCAGAAAAACACAGTAAGAAACAATTTCATGAAAAAAAATACTGGACCATTACAGGGTGGAGGTGTATGGATTATTTTTGCAGAAAAGAGATATTAATTAGTAAAAAAAAAAAAAAGATGAGATCTAGGAAATGTTTTATGAATGCCAAGAAAGAGGTAAATGATATTACTGGAAATAGGAATGTGATCTGGTGATGCTGTATGGTGTCCTGTTGATTCATGGGAAGTGTGAAATGTACTGGCAGGTCTGCTTTTATTCAGTACTGACTACACTCATCCTATAGATACTGATTAGAAGAAACAAATCAATTGATACAAGCTGGTTTAGGGAACTCAAACTTTAGAATCTTTCATCCGAACACCAAAATGTTTCAGGATCCAATCAAAACGAAAAAAATGATGATGCGGCACAGAGCAGGAAATGGAATTTTCCAAAACAAAGATGGCATCTTGCCCATTGATCCAGCAGATGCTGACAGCTGGTAAATATAACATTTGTCAGCCTATAATGGCAGGTAATGTACAACACAGTTAGAATGACAAAAATGTACAGTGTAAGTATAGCCAGCACTTTTTTTTACATTTTTGGATAGAGTATTATTAGTGTATTATATTTTTTTAATGTAGTCTTTATTAATAGAAAAAGTATTTAAAAACATTTGCATAAGAAAATCATATCATGAATGCTGCTACCAGACTCATCCACCTTACTAACCGTTCCATATCTGCCATCCCTCTATACCAGTGGTTCTTAACCTGGGTTCGATCGAACCCCAGGAGTTCGGTGAGTCAGTCTCGGGGGTTCGGCGGAGGTGAAGACCCACACCCGACTCATATGATTCGTGCAGTAAATATTCATTATTATGTTTTTGTTTTTGTGTGAAAATCATGTTTTAATGGTTTTGTTCTTTGTTCTTAACGGTTTTGTTCATTTTGTGCACCTATGTATAAATATATACCTAAATATATACCTATGTTTTGAATTTTAAAAATCATATTTTATTTTTCCAATTAAGAAGGGTTCGGTGAATGCGCATATGAAACTGGTGGGGTTCAGTACCTCCAAAAAGGTTAAGAACCACTGCTCTATACCAACCCCTCCACTGGCCTCCACTCAGTGTCCTCCACCCCTCTCTGCCAATCCCTCCACTGGCCTCCACTCAGTGTTCTCCACCCCTCTCTGCCAATCCCTCCACTGGCCTCCATTCAGTGTCCTCCATCCCTCTCTACCAACCTCTCCACTGGCCTCCATTCAGTGTCCTCCATCCCTCTCTACCAACCCCTCCACTGGCCTCCATTCAGTGTCATCCACCCCTCTCTGCCAATCCCTCCACTGGCCTCCATTCAGTGTCCTCCATCCTTCTCTGCCAATCCCTCCACTGGCCACCACTCAGTGTCCTCCACCCCTCTCTGCCAATCCCTCTATTGGCCTCCATTCAGTGTCCTCCATCCCTCTCTGCCAATCCCTCCATTGGCTTCCAATAAGTGTCCTCCATCCCTCTCTGCCAATCCCTCCACTGGCCTCCACTCAGTGTCCTCAACCCATCTCTACCAATCCCTCCACTGGCTTCCCATTGCCCAGCAAATAAAATTCAAAACATTAACAATAACATATAAAACCATTTATAACTCTGCCCCCAATTACATCACCAATCTTATCTCCAAATATCACCCAAACCGTCCTCTCCGCTCCTCCCACAACCTCCTGCTCTCTAGCTCCCTTGACTCCTCATCCCATGCTCGTCTCCAGTACTTCTCCAGAGCCTCCCCCATCCTCTGGAAGTCTCTACCCCAATTCATCAGGCTATCGCCTACTCTGCCCACTTTTGGGCAATCTCTGAAAACCTATCTCTTCAGGGAAGCATATCCTGCCTTCAGTTAATAACAGAATCTTCTATTCCTCCTACCAGTCCATCCCCCACAGTTACTACCTTTTGTACCACTAGTCCCTCCCTCTTAGAGTGTAAGCTCCAAGGACCAGGACCCTCCTAACCCTCTTGTATTGAACTGTATTGTTGCTGTATTGCACTGAGCAAACTGCTGGCGCTATATAAATCCTGTATAATAATAATATTAAGAACATAAAAATAATGTAGCAAAAATGGTATACATCTGACAATAATCATAAGTGCGCCTCAGCCTTACATCAGCTAAAAATAATGATATGTGAGCCCAGAAGGGTCCCATCTCAACACATACGGCAGATGCATGAGAAAGGAGGGACTGGGGAGTCCAGATAGGTAAGTGCCGATATCAGAAACCAAGGCCAACCAGCCGAGAGAGAACGAGTGGCATTCAGTTTTAAAGTGTGACATGTCACCACCAGTCAGACCATTGGGAAAAGCAAACCAGAGGCCTTCCCAATACAGCATGGCACAAGTATCAAAAACCCAAGAGAGGATCAAGGCATATGGTATGGGCTATCCTCAGCTGTGCATCAGGTGCCGCATAAAATAGAGAAACAAGCACTCAAAAACAAAACAATACAAAGTAAGAACAAATTTAGGCTCAAATCAACTAAAGAACACTTAGATAAGGTCAGGACGCTGGTCAGCAGGCTGAAGCAGCAAGTCAAGTTATAGGCAATTAAGGTAGTAGCACATAAATATTGGGGCCTACAAAAAGGTTGGGATGTGGACGGTGCTCATACCAACACCAACTGAGGGAGTAAGGGCACTGACAAGTAGGGGTGCTGGGTTCCTGAAGCCTCAAATGTATAGTGAATCCACATGGCCCAGAGTAAAATCAATCATACCTGCCTGTACACGTTGCCATCCATCCCTCTGCCTCCATTATATCATTCACCAGTCATACCCATTCTGAGTGACAGGGAACCTTGGTCTTTTTCCAAATAAATGGGTATCAGGAGCCTTCATCCTGTTGACGCCGACTCTTGGCGGCTGGGCCTAGACGCTGAGAGGCCGCAAAGTTGTAGGCCCAAAAAAAAAAACACGTGTCAAGAGTGCACACCCCTGGCACATTTACCGTTGCCTCACGGAAAGGTCCCAGTTGCTACTTGTGATTGGGACCTTTCCGATTATGTGACCACTGTGACAGCCAATCACATCGGTCACATGACCTTAAACCCCATCCTGCCTCCTGGCGTCACAAAACCCTTAAGGGGCCATGAGGCGCCAGCACCAAGGGGTTAAAAGATGTGGAAGTACTCCTTTTTCTATAAAGGCTAACAGGTATAGAAGGAACATGGAGTAAGAACTGCATGGGGGAATCAGGGATATCAATGTCTAGAATCACCGTGATTTGGGCTTGGATATCATGCCAAAGGGGCCGCAACTTGGGACATTCCCACCATATGTGCAGGAAAATACTGTACTGTCCACAAACCTGATGAGGAAGGGTAAATTTGCCAACATCAAGTAAGTAGCTTAAAGCTGTTTTCTTGCATCTTTGTGTCAGCAGAGTTAGTGTGGGTTAAGCGGTACATGTGGTGAAGCTGGGTCTCTGAGGAAACGTGCTGCAAATCTCTCCCTCATTCCCATATAGTGTATTATATTTTTGGCTAAAACACAAGAAAACGAGGAGATGGATGTGAATTCTTGGTAAAACAATGAGATTATGCTCTCTACAAAACAAAATTTTTAGAACAGGGGTCTCCAAACTTTGTAAACAAAGGGCCAGTTTACTGTCCTTCAGGCTTTAGGGGGGTCAGACTGTGGCCAGTGGGAGTAAAAAATGTTGTAGTGTGGAAGCAGACACCTCATCATTGGTATCAGTGGGAGGAAAAGTTCTGCATCATTGGTGTCAGTGGCAGGAATATTTCTTTGTATCGGTGTCAGTAATTATGACCAATTGGTGTCAGTGGGAGGAATAGTTTCTCCTAAAAGTGGGAGAAATAATGCCCCAAGGGCTGGATAAAGACAAGCAAAAGGCCACGTCTGGCCCCCAGGGCCGCAGTTTGGAGAGCTATGCTCTAGAACATCATAATCAGAGGCGATGGAAACCATAAACACAATGTCATACGAAGGAAAACTTCAAACAACCTTAATAGCTCTGGTAAGGCAGCTCCCACATGGATATACGTCATCCAAAAAAAGTCAATGAATTTTGGGGGCAACAACACTCCCTCTTCACCAGGGCTCTCTACAAAGGATTGAACTTGGATGGACCCAGAGAAAAAAAGAATTGGGCAGCACAGTGGCTAAATGGTTAGCACTTCCACCTGGCAGTACTAGGGGTTGTTGGTTCAAATCCCAGCCACAGCACTTCCTGCCTGGAGTTTGCATGTTCTCCCTGTGCCTGCATGGGATTCCTATGGTTACTCCAGTTTCCTCCCACACTCCAAAGACATGCTGGTAGGTTAATTAGATCCTGTCTAAATTGGCCCCTAGTATGTGTATGTATGAATGTGAGTTGGGGACCTTAGATTGTACACCCCTTGAGGGTTAGGGACTGATGTGAATGTACAATATATATGTAAAGTGCTGCATAAATTGATAGCAATATATAAGTACCTGTAATAAATAAATGTTGCAGATCTATTTTAGAACCAGCACTGATTTCTCCATGTGCAGCAACAATTTGAAAGCAGTTGTTTTTCTATTCAGTTCCTTTTTTTTTTTTTTTTTTTAAATAACAATAGGTGTGCTGCTCCTTTAAATAATCAATGAAGTATAACCATACTCATCAGTACATTAACATGCATGTCACCACAGTGAACATAAAATGCCATAAAGTGCTCACTAAAACAAGCAAGTGTAAAAAGTCCCAAAGTGATGGCAAATCTTTTGTTGGATCAATACAGCCGTCCTTTATCAACAATGTGCCAAACAAAGTGTGCTCCAAAAACTCCTGCCCACAGGTAAGTATACACTTCTTTCCAAAATGTTGGATCCCACTAAAGAGATCACTGCGCACCTTGCTGCACCTCAGCGATACTGGGTTCCACCTCTAAACAGCCTCAGTGGTCCTAGATACCAATCTCAGCAGAGATAAAGGCACAAACAGAAACAAATCCCATAGTGTAGTATTCAAAACAATGTTTACTTTATTAAAATCGCACTTACAAAAGCGTTCAGTGTATATCATGAGAGCTGCTGCATCCAGAGCTAGCGTGCGCGATGACGTCACGTATCTGGTCCCACCCAACGCATTCAGTGGAAGATACCTTTTTATTGTTATTATACTGATTTATTTAGTACAGGTTTTTATATAGTGCCGTCAATTTATGCAGCGCTTCACATATATACTGTACAATCAGTCCCTGCCCTCAAGGAGCTTACAATCTAAGGTATTGTAGCACAACTTGCATGTAGATTGATTTATGGTGCTGCAGCTACTTTTATCTTTCACTAAGCGCAAGGTTTTTCATGGGTTTTTTATATATAGTTTATAGGATACAGATCCATCCAATTCAACCTGTGTGTGTGTATGCACATGTGATTTTTATTCTATAATAATTCCCATAACTCTGTATATTCTGCTTCATGAGGAAGACGTCTAAAAGTTTTTTTGAAGTTTTTAACACAGTTAGTATCCCTTCCTGGGAGAGGCACTATCACATGTTTACTGCTCTAACAGTAAAGAACCCTTTCCTTGATGTAAGAATAGATCTCCTTTCTTCTAACCTCAAATCATGGCCAGATGTCCTCTTCAGGAACCTTAGAGTAAACAGGTTATCACAGTTACTGGAGCCACCTTTGAGATATTTGTACATTGTAAGCATATGAACCATTGGCGCTTTATAAATACTGTATAATAATAATATCCCGTGCTAAGCGACTCTTCTCAAGAGTGAATAACTGTAATCTATGTAATTGATCCTTGCAGCTCAGGTCCTTCCCATCCCTTATTCATTTTGTTGCCCTTTGCTGAACTCTTTCTAACTCAACAATGTCGTTCCTGAGGTTTGGTTTGTCTGGAGATTTCGATACTGATTCTAATATAGATCTTGGAAGTGACTGTTCTCTCTGAGTCCACCCAAGTTTTATGCCATGTTGAACCCTGATTGCGGGGGAGTGTTGTTGCTCCTGAAACGCGTTGGCTGCTTCTATATAACGTATTTACCAACAATTAAAGTGATCTTGTGTCTGGTGCTCCAAAAAAAAAGAGGAAACCCCTTAAACCAGGGATCCAGATTTGAGACTCCGCATGTCCAATGTCCAATGAGAGAGCCAAATAAACAGTCTGGGAGTCCAAGATCCCTTAAGACGAACTTCAAAATAAGCAAATATTGTCTAGATATAAGAAGCATTTGTATCCTTCCTTGAATCTTGGTGTGTTTTGTCTATTGCTTCCAGATCTGTGCAATCCCGTGTGAGACTTTCTGTGATGAAGACCGCTCACTGCTGCTCCTTCTCTCCCCTTGTGCAGGGGGACTGGTCTTGTCACCGCCCCTTTCTGTATCTTTCTGCAGATAGCCTTTACTGGGTGGAGCCTACTGGGCCCCTCCCACAGCATTGTTCTTTGCACAAGCTATGTACAGCTTAGTGGTGATGTCACTGCTACTTTTTCAAG